GTATAAACTGAACCCTTGCACCGATTATCGTCAAATACAATACCAGCCATCTTTTAATGACACTCTATTAATATGTCAAAGTAGAAGGCGATATCTCAAAAATTAGTGAGATCGCGTACAAAAATACGGACCAAAATCTGCACAGATTGTAAAAACCAGTTTTTTCGACGTTTTACAACATTCTAAACATAATGGCATTGAAAACTGAAAAAAATTTTTTCACGAAAACAAAGCTTCCTCTATGAGGAAGCAATAAAAAGGGAAAAGTAGTTATAGCGAAAGTAAATTGTAAATCTATACCTGTTCACACCATTGTTACTGATCTCATTCGCTCGTTTGGCCAATATCGTTATGATAATAAGCTGTGAACAAGCAAGAGAGTCATTACACTATACGTTATTACGAATTAATAAATATCAAGAATGAATAAAAATAAATAAGAATAAATAAGAATAAGTAGGAATAAATAGGAATAAATATAAAATAACTAAATAAATAAACTTACATATTATTCAAAACATGATTGCACTCTTTGGTTGAAGGGTGCAGAGTCGATTAAAGTTGCATTATTAATTGTAAGACACAAATAAAAGTATCGAGAGAGGTGTGTTAGACGAGATGTCAGATTGAACTTACGAATGACAAATGTAGTTATCAAGAGACATGTGTTGGACGGGAGAAATCAAATTGAACTATCGGATAACGAAATAAATAAGACGAATGAGAAAAATAATGAGTGCACGATCAAACGTAATATAAACAATAAATACAGAATCACATATATTCTAACACTTTATCATATACGGAATTTAGATTTTTAGTGTCCTTTTTTAAGTTGATAGCGTTCTTTTGCTTTTTTATGAAGAACATCTCACCAATTTCGCGTTTATATGTATGTTTTTCATTATGTATTATAAAATTTCAGATTCCAACCATTTAAAGTCATGTTCATAAGTTAACCGGTGCTTGCTTACTACCGATAATATTATTTTAGTAGAATACATTGTACCTGTGTATACCTACTTATTTATAATAATTAATAAAAAGTAATTATTAAAATACATTTTACAAATATCGTAGGCTCATTGAGTCGTAAACACAGTTTACGAGAAAATTCTTACGATATTCCCTCGATGTAGACTCGCGCATGCTAGTACGCCACTGGTACGGCGCTAGTACGGTACGCCACCGGGGGTTCACGTTGGCGATCGTGGCCGAGCCCCACCGCCCCCCGAGAGACAGCCCATATTGGGCTGTTGATAACGGGCAGGCGGGGGACTCGGTTGCGATCCGATGGCGGTCGGTGCCGGGAGGGTCCGGCACGACCCCCATCGAGAGTAGGGAACGGCACGTTGCCGTTCAATGGGGGCCCATCGCGGTCGTTGGGGTCTATTTAAGGCCCACCAGACGCCCTGCTCTGTTTGATGGCTGGCTGTCGGACGTGGGACGGACGTTAACACGTCTGGGTCCGAAGCCGGTCCTCGTGGCCGGGGACTTCAACGCGTGGCACACGAGTTGGGGTTCCCGGCGTGATAACGAGAAGGGCAGGTAGCCCAGTCAAATTAGACAAAAATAAGGCCAAACTTCGGAAAAATTCCCATAGGGCTGGATTTTGGTATACAGCGAGATATTGTCCTTTGAAACAATGTCTCAACGCGGCAACCATCCGGAAGCCATGACTAAATTTTTTAAAAAATTATGCAAGTATGCCAGCGCATAGAACTCTTCAGAAAACATAAGAATAGGTTCGGAACTACACTAGAACTGTTTTAGAATAGCCAGAACTCTGAGATTTCGACCAGCGTTTCACGTTCGTCCGTATTAAGATGTATCTCTCGACTGATAAAAATAATTTAAAAATTGAAAAACAACGTTTTTTCACCAGAACTCTTGCTAGAACTATTGTAGAACTCTAGGGCGCTTGAAATCCGATAAATAGCCGTCGGGAAATAGGCGGAGGACAAAGTGAGACGCTGGGTGAAGTTGGCGTCTCACTTTGCACTAATCGATTTTTTGGCTTTAAAGGCCAGAACTATGTGTTTAATGTATCAGGAACTCTAGAACTATTATAAAAGAAGCCAGAACTCTCAATAGTTAATGAGTTTCCACGAAATGAGACGCTAGCTTCACATACACTTGCACGACAGCTATGGGGACCCTTTATTTACCGTTTTACTAAAAAACGGTTGGTTCTGGTAAAATAAGTAATAAGACCTTTTTTGTAGCAAATTTCATAAGCTACAAATTTCATAATAACTATGTATGCCGAAAAATCAATATTTTCAAAGATATTCGCGAAAAACTGTTTTTCACCCCC